GTAGGAATTCTTCTTGAGAAATTTCTCCATCACCATCTTTATCTGCTTCGTCTATCATTTCTTGTAATTCTTCATCTGTAAGATTTTCACCTAATTCACGAGCGACTCTTTTTAAATTCTTAAATGTTATTTTTCCTGTATTATCATCATCGAATAATCGGAATGCTTTCAAAACTTCATTTTTCGTATCTTTTTCTAACATTTTTGTAGACATTAATTTCAAAAATTCTTCAAACGATAAGGTACCAAGACCATCAGGATCAACATCAGCTATTAGTTTTTTCATTTCTTCCTTTTTAGGCTCAAATCCGAGAGCTCTAATGGCTACTTTAAGTTCTTTAGTAGCAATTCTTCCAGTCCCATCTGGATCAAATAAATCAAATGCTTCTTTTATATCGTTCTTCTGTTCTATTGTCAAATCTAACTTTGGTGGCCCCTTTTTCTTAAGAGTAATGGCAGTTTGCTTCTTAGACGTAGATGCCTGAGAAATAATTATAAGAGAAACAGTGCTTTATCTACTGACAATGACTTAGTAGCCTTTAAAAATAAATAATTAAAGACTGAAGACTATTTAATCAAGTTTTCAATGCCAAGTTATTTTCAATAACAAGTCTAATTGTTTCTACTGGGATTGTTACTTAAAAAAAAACTACTGCTACAGTTACTAAAAAGCTATTGATAGGTAATACGATAAGTAAAGTGTTAGAAAAACAAATAGTAATGCTCACACATACCATGTTCAAAAATTAATTCAACGTTTCTAGACAACGTTTAGATGTAAGTGATGTAAAAATTATAATTCTGCTTAGTGTAATTTCCTTCTGTTCTTTATTATTAGTTATGCCAGACAACAATATGTGTCAAATCATAAATATTCCAAATATGATGGTACTCATTTCAAAATATCAATTGTCATGGCATTGGTTATTTAGTTGTTACATTTAATATGTATAACATAGTGTATACATAGTCAGAAAATTAAAATTTGAATATACATACATATATGCATACATACTAAAGTTTATTTTGCGTAACGAACAGTAGAGAGCGTTGTGGGTCGCCAAAAAAACTATATGTACATATGTAATGTACATATACAATTGTTATGCAAATATTGTACGATATTGTGTTTTATTTTTTGTACATGTATATGTACTAGATCTATGCAATTCGTAATACGTACAAACATATATCGAAATATGTATAACTAGTTACAGTAGAAATGGCTAAAGTATTTAATTAAAAAGTAACATTACAATCGTATATTGTGCTTTCTATCATAGTAGCACATAGCACTGCACATTATAAGTATCGTAAATACACAATGGTTATATGCAGAGTTCTATTGTCACCTATGCCCGGTAACTATGGTAAAGGGCACAATGGATCTGGAATCATAGAATAAATCAACAGGTGTTCTATGTACATGGTGTAATGACAGTATGACATTGTCATAATGACGGTTTATGACAGCGACATGTGATGATTGATGTCCACCTATGAGAACATGGATGGAGAAAGATAAACGGGACTGATGGCATGGCATCCCCATCACCAATCACCATCAGTGTCTCAATTCCAGGATATAATAGTGGCAATTGGCAATTTACAGAGAAACTTGCTATGCTATTGCTATAAATGTATGTAAATACATACAAATACATATTTTGTCTCCCGTGCCAAATCTAAAAATATTAAATTATGAATATGACAGTTTTGTCTACGTGACGCACGGGAAATAAAATGTGTATGATACGTTATGCACATGCGGGCCCAGCCTCTCAGCATTTTGACCGTTCGTGGAATTTCCACTCAAGCCCAGTGTGTCCAATGGTGTTAGGGATTCTGCTCGGATTCCATTAAAATCCATGGACACACTAGGCTTGAGAGGAAGTTCTATGAACGGTCAGGATGCTGGTGGCGAGACTCTTGTAGAGAAAAAATGAAGCTTCGTTCGAGGTTCGTTAGCCAAAATAGATTGCCTTGAAAACCATTTTTAGCAATTATAATAAAAAAATCTTGTTATTTTAATATATAATTTAAAATTTGTTGCTTCTCTGAATAGTTAAATTATAGTTCAACAGAAATATTTTATAACTATTTCAGGAAATGTTTCAAGGTTGCTATCATTCACTTAAGGAAAAATGTCACATTAAATTTCAATTAATATTTATAGCATCGATCTTAGGTCGATGATTTATAATTACATATTTGTATTATCATTATGTTCAAAGTGAGAAAAATTACCTTCCAAATAAGTAAACGGGGACCTTTGTCTAGTAAGCCTTGACTATCAAAAACTATCGATGATTGAAATATCGATACTGTATCGTAGGACCATCTACAAATTTCTCAAAGTTACAAAACTACTCATCATGTATGAACCGATAATTAAGCTGACGCCAAAACCTCGTAATCTTCGTGGCACACCGGCTGGTAGATTCCATGTATTTACTACTTTTCTAAAATCTGCATTGGGAACTGTGCTTTTCACATGGTTTAGGTAAATGTTTGTATGATTCATACGACATAATTAATTTCTCATTCGTAAGATAATTATCATTTGCTGATATCACACATACAGAAAAGAAATAAAGTTTATACTAATAATACTTTATACTAGAAACTATTATTTTTTTATTAACACGAAAACAAAAAAACATAACCTAACCTATAATGGAGGTACGCAGGTTTATTATGACTTAAATTTGTAACAGACGTACTTACTTTTGGAATTTATTAAATCGAATTACATTAAATTTCTACATATACATACAGTATAAGCTGCACTATACATGTATATTGTATAATTACATCAGTTTGACCAATGTAAATTCAATAAACAGAATTCCTAATTATAGTATTTATGCATCTCGGAAGAAGAGGATAATTCTGGAGCTTGAAGGAGAAATGGCGTCTTGCATAAATAATCAACGTCCCGATCTAAAGATTAGTGAAACTGAAAATACACAGTAATATGATCTCAGTATGTTTAGAGAGGTGTAATGTAGACAGGTATGAGTTTTGAAACTATGTAATAAAATAATAATGAACAGACAGTTATACTAATAAAATGACATTTCCACTAATAGATTATGTCTAATTTTTTTAGTTAAAAATTTCCAAATTGGTAAAATGAAACTAAGGGATTCTTGTTGAAAACTTTTATAACATATTGTTGTCAACGTATTTTTTACCCTTTTCTTCAACATAGGTCGAGAAATGATTTTTGTAGTAATATCCAGTTTGATGTAGTATGCATTTTCTGCTATACATTTCAAATTTGCCGCGCTTTGTTACAGCACAGTTGTGTCATCTGTAGTCTGGAATCTGCTACAGAGTGGTGGAGGAGAGACGTCACAAATGAGATCGGATAATGTCAATGGATTCCAATGGTAATTTCCAATGGCTGTGTTGCCAACACCCTCTCCCCGTTCCTTTTCGACAGTTTGTAGCACATTCCAGACCATCACTAGTGTTTAATGCTATGTGATGATGTGATTTTTGATAGCGTTTTATACTTTACAAACGGATTGTATGTACACGCCAGTATTTTTGAAAAAGCCAAAAATGTATGTAATAGTAATAATCTGTCAAAATGTTTAATTAGAATATGTGTATCGCAAGTGCAAAATTAATTGATGAGATCGAAATGGATGAAGGAGGCCAGGGTGATAAAGATAATAGTTTCATTGAACCTAATACTGAACACGACAGTATATTAGACTTTAAAAGTCCAGATTCAAAAATTGCTAAAAGTAAATCATGTGAATTCGTTAAACCCAGCAATATAAAACAGAAGAGAAAAGCAACAACGAAATTAAAGAGTATTACAAAGAATCAAAAAGATACAGAATCGAAGCAGAAATTAAAGAAAGGAAGCTTTGAGCATTCTATAAAATCTTCTTACTTTGAGATACGAAATAGCAATGATCATAATAACCTAATTACTGATATGAAAGTAGCTTGTGTATGTCCTTTATGTTTTAAAACATTCAAGGATATAAACACTCGTGCAGTTCATATGAAGATTTGTGCATGTAAAAACAACATTTCAACAAAAAAATTATTGGATGCTATTGAACTTCAAAAGCGTCAAGAAGATGAAAGGAAATCATTAGGTTTACCTGCTGCACCGAGAGTGCAAGAAAAGAAGAAGTCTGTATCTCATAAAGTAGTATGTATTGTACATATTCTAAAATTTTTATTTGATATTCTTTATGAAAGGAAATTTACTTTTCTAATTTCTGTTTAATTGAAACTTTTTATTTTTAAAAAGAGTTTAGGCGACGATTCTGATTTGAATCTTGCATTAGCATTGTCAAAGTCTCTTCAGGAAGCAAAGGAGATAGACAAAGTTAATGACATTGGACAGTTATCCAAGGTAGAAACAACTACATTTAGAACAGCAGAACCTATGTATAAATCACAGTTGGGAGAACATGGATTTACAAATGTGGAACCTGTAATTTTTGTACAGAATAGGAAAAGTATATTTCTGTTGTATTTGTAGATATAGTAGGGTCTCTTATATCCATATTAATAAAAAGACAAAAGCATTTGATATTGAATTTCATGTAGTTATATAAATATATATAAATAAAAAGATATATATGTAATATTTAAAGATCCTGAATCTTTTTTCTGCTAAACCACATGTTTTCAATGTAAACAACTATGTAACATTACATTCTTTTATTTACCATCAGAGTTTTCTCTTGGACTTTAAGTACCAAAATTGTTTTCTTCTCTTTGTTGTACACTTTTATTTTTTGAATTCTTTAAGCTTTTTCTACCAGTACTATCACCTGGTGATAGATGCTAGTAATCTTTTCAATACTATATATTCGTGCTTTTTTTCTACTTTCAACATTTTCAAGCTTTTTAATTATTTCATATTTTGTTTCAATGCTCAAAACAAAATGTTTTTGTTTCATTGTCGTTGTGATGTAGATAGTTAGCTTCGTACTAAAGTGTTATGATTAAGATTAATTTGACCAAATACTGGAGGCTATACATAAATTGCATGCTTCGGATGTTATACATCGCTGCGGAACAGTTGAATATGGAATGCACTACTGTATTTCTACTTTAAGAAACAGGTTTGAAACAGTCTTCTTACATGGCGACATTTTTCTGACAGGAATACATAATGCACTCACTACTCTTCAAACACGTACTCAAGAAGAGAGAAACAGTATTTTAATAGAAAACATAGCAAAAATTCTCATGAATGATGAACCATTTACTCAAATATCAAAAAAGGAAGCAGTATGCAATAAAAAGTTTGCAATAAAAACTGATCTGAAAAGTTATTTACTTCAGGATCTCTTTTATGAGGTAATTACATTATTTGATCTTGTCATCATATAATTAACATTAATTAATTACGAATTCCATATTATATGAATTAAAGAATGAAAAACTATGGGATAAAGCGGAATTACTTCGAAGCGAAATATCTTTTTATATTTAAAATTTATCAGAATATATATTTCCACAAGAAAAGGGAATGAAAGTAAGGGAGCAGTACATTATATATTATGCCAAAATTTATTAATTCATATTTAATTAATAATACATTAACTTTTTTTTTACTTGAAATATACTTATAGGAATGCAGAGAAGATGATAGAATCCCAAGTGAGAATGA